CGCCCCCCTCGGCCAAGCCAAAAGAAGCGCCGCACCCCGCCGCTGCTGCGGCTTCGCTCACGGTCTCCAGCAGATCAGGGGCACCGGGAGCGAAGCCGCAGCCGCGGCGCGGTCCCGCGCCTCTGAGGCTTTGCCCGAGCAAAGCCTCAGAAGCGCGGGAACCCGCCGCTGCTGCGGATTTGCTTCTGATGCCCCTGGTCTGCTGGAGACGGTCCCCAGCAGACCAGGGGTACCGGGAGCAGCTTTTTTCGCCCCGGAGGTCAAGGTGGCTGACCGCTGCCTGTGAGCTCTGGGGCGAGAAAGCCCCGTTCATAAGTGCAGATCCGACATAAGTCGGATCCGCGTAAGTCGGGGACTGCCTGTACTTGCTTGAATTTTCAAAAGAACAAACAGTTCCAAAATAGCTTTCAGGGTAAGGTTAGATGCATATGATTTCACAGGGAAAGAAACATGTTTTAAGAATGATATGTCATCACTGGAGTCCTGTTCAAATATAGATAGTCATTTAGAATCTCCCTAAAAAGTCTATAAAATTACTTACCTTTGCATGGAGAAAACGAAGAAGGTGACTTAAAAGCTTTGAAAATATTTTTTTACTAGTCTATTTAAGGGGGAGTTTTGGCATGGGAGAAGGCAACAGCTCCATTAGAGAATCAAAAATATCAAGATTGTGAGAACTTCTGTTTGGCATTATTCCCAGAGCACAAAGCCACACACAAATAAATCCCTTACAGCAGGATTTATCCCAACCAAGGGGATTCTTCTCTATTTCTCAGACTGCTCCTTTCTTTCCTAGTCTGAGAAAATTCAAGTGTGGTCTACTTCCATAACAGGTTTAAAGGACACTACCAATTAAAAAAAACATTTCTGTTTAAACAAATTTACCTTTTATTGTTAGTGTAACAAATAAGATTATTATAACTGAAAGTAATTAGAGGAAACATTTATTTCTCTATTCCTGTTTATTTTGTGCATGTGACAGCGCTTACAGTACCATTACAGAAAATTTCATTGTTTAAAAAATTCACTGTAATCTGTTTCTATGGGCGTGCATGTGGAGTGGAGGACGACGATAGACTGGGGTTATTACAGAACAAAAGAGGAGGGAAAAAAATCAAAATATAGGTTTTACAACTATGCAGTTGTAAAACCACAAAAGTTGGCATAGACTCAAAAGAAAATGTAGTAGTTAAAAATACTTTGTACTTTTTTTTTATAATCTGTACTTTATAATTTTTGGTAAATTTCATTAGAAGGATGTGTGTGCAAAAAATGAGAAAAATATTGTGGACAAAATTCTCCCATGTACATTTTCTAATAAATTCTTCATTTTCTCTGCTCACTTTAGTGCAAAACCTCTCTAAGAATTAATAGTATAGATTATAGTAACAAAGTAAATGTGCATGGATATTCCCAGAAAGTTAAAAATTTTTGCTATAGTTGTTAGAGATAATGGTTAAAGAAAGCAAGTTTGTTCATGTTATTTAGCTCACATATTTTGGATATGAAATCTTTTAGAAAGAAGATTGATTTGTATAAAATGTTGGCAATATAAAACAATGATCATATAACACAATTATACATTGAAAACAAACACAAGAAGACTCAAAATTTTTCATACTGTACCTTCTTCGAGAATTGATCTTAGCACAACAAAAGGGATTTCTTGTAGTGGTTCCATGTATTTGTGTCCAGCACTCATAATTTTTATCTGGGGCAAGCAAAGAACAACTGTACCAGGCATACCAGCTTGTCCATGGTACCAACTTCGGACAGTTCCAGGAATGTCACCGGACACAATTGTACTTGGGGAAGGGAGGCTATCGTTTGGAACAAACACACAACATGACTGCACTTCAAGCTGGAAAAACAAAAACAAATCCAAGAGTGTCAGAAATAGATATCAAAATTCTCCCAACATATTTATTCATTTATAATACAGAATCACGGATCTCACAGTTGATTAAAAACCTAAGTTCTTAAACAGAAATAAAAGAAAGGTTAACAAAAAATGGTAAAAATACTTACATTTTACATTACACATATAGAAAAACACACCCGAAAAGATGCCATTTTGGTTTATAAACTTGATCAAAAGGATATAGCCACATAAGCTGAACATATATCTGCCTTTCCACAGGTCTTTTCAGGAAACATGATGGAGTTAGAAAATGTGCTGGCAGAAAAGGTGATAAAATCCTCTTCCTTTTGCAGTTCACTAGCTTTTGTTATCACTAGCTTAGGCTCTACAGCTGACTAGCATTTTATACACTGTTACTTTCAGAAAAAGATTTATTTCAGTGAGAATTCTGCCCTTACTTCAGTTAACAGTGACTGAAGTGCATTTAAAAGGTCAAGCTTAATCACTCAATATAACATTAATAAAAGCCTCAGCCATCTATTGACATGCTTATTAGTACCAAGATATATATTGAAATGAAAAAAGTCAATAAAGTTTAGAGACTAACAGGTTTGTCTCCTTTTGTCACCTTTCAGATTAGAATAAATTCATGTGATTTCATATAATACTTATATTTCCACAGAGTACAGTTACTTAGTTTGCCATGAAATAGTTTTGATAATTCTGCCATATCCTTAGAGATTCCTAGCTAAGCTAAATGAGACCAAACCAAGGACTGAACTTATCTTGACTTCTTAATTTAGAGGTAAAGTATGCTAAAAACTGCTATTTTTACTTGGCTCTTGCAAGCAATATTCTGCACCTGGATATCAAATAACTTTAACAGCCTGCACACTTTAATGCTTTGTTAAGCAAAAACAAACTGATTCAACCAGTTTCTTCACAATATTTTGGATGCAAGGTGTTATTTGAAGGCATTATAAAATACTTTTCTTTGTTGCTTTCTAGTAGTGTCCAATAAATGCATGAAGATACCGTAAACTTATAAAAGTAAAGAAACTATATCTTACAAATTATAAGAAAGACTTAGTGCATGATACTCTTTCCTAAAGGCTAATATTCCCCCATGAGAGCAATAATGATGTGTAACAGGACTGGCATCCCTCAATACCATAAATAATTTACCAGCCTGATGTACAGAGATAAACTGACAAGAATTCACTGTTGAAAAATAGTAGAATTTTGCAAAAATAAATATATTACATGAAGTCCATGTCTGTTTCTAGTTTAGAGTTACTTGAGCTGTAAAATGAAGCTAATTATATCTTTGGTAAGTAATTTATTGATCCAAAATTTCAGAATGTACTTATTTATACCAGACGAGAAACAATTGTGGATCGTTACAGATGAAACATCTGGATTTTCAAAAACACGGTTAAAATCAGTCTGTCAATTTTTCAGAGATTTTTATAGTGACATGTAAGAACATTTTCTTCTCTATTAGCGATAAGTTACAGTTCAGACCACTGTGGGGCAGTGATAAACAGATGACAAAAGCAATGCAGTTATGATCAGGTTAGCTTTTGTTTTATCAATGAAGTTACTGAGTAAGCAATTTATAACAAATCACATAATATATGATGATTAACTTCAAATGTTGCCAGAATATACAAGGCATGTGGTAATAATAACTCACAAATTCCACCAACTCAGAGATACAATGCTCTATCAATTTACCCACAGCAAGGGTCTACAGTAAATTTTTAACAATGTTCACTTCAGAAGTATATAGAACCAGGAAATTCTTAAGATTTTTTCCACTTTATCTGAAAAACTGTATTTAATACAAGTTTCTCGGGTTTTTTTCCCCTGTTTAATTTGATTTTACCATGTCAAAAACACTGAAGTGGAATCACAACTGTAGAATTCCATATATTATTTAGCAGGATCTATCACTAATTTAGGCATCAACTGTACTATGTTCATTAACCTTGAGTTAATGTGAGTTGGCCCATTGATTTCAAAGGCACTACTCATGGACAAATGGGTGGTGGAATCTGGTCCAAAATATGTAATAATATATTTCTATACCAATTCAAGGCACTTCAAATCAGAAATCATGCATAAACAAATATGTGCATCATAGAGGAGGTTTTAGAAGAATATATAGTTTAAGGTTTTCAAAGCAGGACATGATGGATGAACCAATAAAAACACACATTTTCCAATACAAACCAGAAAATTACTACCTGTTTGCAAAGGAAATTATCATTTTATGAATGGAAATATCTGTTAAAACATTCAATGGCGGGTTCTTAAGAAACATGTTATATTTCTCACTGAGCCAAATTTTACCCTCATGCAATTCCAGCAAGTTTCAGTGAGATTTTCACATGCATTTGAGAACAGAATCTGCTCCTGCTTGCCCAGAGATTTGGTTCACAGCAAGTTCCATAAAAGGAGGCAATAATGCATCTAAAATTAGTGCAATGTATGTTGGACTAAATAATACAAATATGTTATAGATCATTTTATTGATAGAGAAATTGCTTTAAATTATATGTAATTCAAATACTTTCAAAATAAAGTTACAGAAATAGCATCTGTTAATGCTACCAAATGAATATTTTTTACATTTTAAAATAACTGTTAAAGGGTATGTATAAAATTGTGACTTTAATGTAAAATGAGACTGATTTATGTAATTGAATATAAATCTGTATCAGTAAATCTTGCATTAATGTAAAGATCTGACAATCCAAGGGAAAGAAAATGAAGTAATCTGCCAGTAAGAAGTCCTCAAGCTGGGGGTCAGATCCTGTTCATGGAAACCATCTGGTTGGGACCCTCCAAGCCACACCAAACACTGATCTTTTAAAAAAAATATCCTATTCATTAATGTATCACAGCTGCACTGAGTGTTACTTCACTTTTCCATGGCAACATCCTTTCTGTTTCAAGGATCTTATTTCAGTTTTGGTAGCAACATGTTCTTTTGCCAATACTGAACACATTCATGTGTTAAAGAAAAAGAATTATTACAAATTCCTGAAATGGAATCACCTCCTATTTTTACTTCTATTATGTCAATGGCTATAAAATATACTAATGATAAACCAAGGATAAAATAATTATTTTGCTTGCTAATTTAAAATTGAGTGAACCATATTGTGTTTGTTTTAAATTTTTACTAAAATATATACACTGAAGGGTGAATGGATCACCAGATCTTAGCTATTAAAATGAATAATTTAATTTAATAGAGCAACTCATGGCATGAGAATTGTTAAAGTGGTTTATGCTATTTTAAAAATAATATTCTACATAAAAGGGAATATTGTTCAGTAGAGAGCATTGTAAAATATGCACTATACTAGGGCACAATCACCCTGACTGTGGAGTGGCCACTAAAGGCCAAAAATGCAGCAGAGATGTCACATAGTTCTGCTGTGCAGGAGAGCAGAGATGATGTGCAAAACCTTCATGTTTCATAGTGATACAATTAAAACAATTCTCATTGTTCCTACTGAGTTCTTGATTGCCAGCCCTAGTCAATCTCACTTCCTGTTATACGTTAAAGAATTTGCTCAAGAGGAGCAGCTTTCTAAGGAAACTTTTACGCAGTGTGGCCTTTGTCTCTTTTTTAAGTCTCAGTCCTGCAAATGTTTTCCAGCAGTAAAAGGCTGGTATGGGTTTGGTTTGTTTTCGCTTTTTGTGCGGAGAGGAGTTACAAATTTTAGGTCCCCATGCAGAGGGATGGGATGAGATAAGCAATGAAAGCTGCTGTGGCCAATTTGCACAGGTGCTTGACTCGTACTTCCAAGTTGGATCATAGTATTTTGTATCCATCTAGTTTTTCTGCTGCTTTATCACACAAGTTCCGGTTATTTGTATGTTGCGTGAATTTCACAATTAAAGTTTGTAAATAAAATCTTAAAACATGCTGATAATATTTGACCGATTTCCTACTACTTTCTAAGTAACGCACTGTTGACTAAATTTAAAACAGTACTTTTATTTGGTCATAAAACTACAGAAATCAAAACTGATAAACTAAAGTTGTAGATAAATCTTCTAAATGGAAATATTTTACAAAAATTCTTCTGAAAACTTTAGGGACTCTCTTATTAATGTAAGCATGAAATGACCAGAATCATCCTGTTTCCCTCACTGCATGATACATAACCAATCAATTAATTGCCTCTCCCCTACATAGCTACTGAATATTATTGCTAAGTTACATATTACGAAATCTCTCTCTCTCCTACACAAAGAACAAGAATGTAAATTAAGCTCATTATTAAATTTCTATTGTTTCAGCAAAAAAAAATTAAGTGGAAACTATTCTCTTTAGAGAAATATTACTTCAAATAATTACAGGAAATACAGGCTTCTTCCTCAAAATACTTTAAAGTTCACAGTAAGTGTTACAAATAATCATTGCACATTTATTTGGTTGTCATTCACCATAACATAGCTCTTGCATTAATTTGGTTTTAATATAGATGCCTCATTATTTCCACTAGAATTCAACATTAACAATCAATTAGAAATAAAAGTTTATGCCATTTCATGATTTTATCAAATATTAATGTCGGGGACATGTGAAAAGTAAGTGCCTCCCCCATAGTCCAGCTGCCAGAAAGACTTCAAGACTGTATACAAAACTCCACAGCTAAATAATAAAAACATTTTATAGTTAAGATTGAAAGTTTTTTTCATTGATATACTAGTAGTTTACAGTAAGTCCAATGCATAATATCTTCATGCATGGTATTATCATGAGCAAAAATGACGAGGGCTAAACCAGTACCAGCTTTGGCTCCAAACTATACTTTCCAGGGACTCTGGTTCCAAAAACATTTTACATACTCAAATTCCATTAAAAATAATCCTTTGATGAGTTTAAGTTTTCAGGTTCTGTTTTATCCAATGTCCTACTTCTGACTTTTCTGGTATACAGCTGTTTTCATAAAAGACCAAGGAACATGCAAACTGTT